CCACTCAGTGGCACATGGCTCCGGTCAGTTCTTGGAGTTGCACATGGAGGCGAGGAGAGAAGCCAAGTCAGCCCACCTCTACTGCATGGGGTTCACGTGCAGCTGCCAGCACTTGTGCACCACCAAGGGGAAGCCCTAGGTGCTGGAGTGGCTGCCTTCCCTGCTCCCTGCCACCATGTGCAGCTGAAGGCAGCTGGCTCCATTGCGCAGGGCTTCGTCCTGGTGGCATGCAAGTGCTGGGAGCTGCACATGAGTCCCACGTGATAGACATGGGCCAGCCTGCCTCCACTCCTTGCCACCACATGCAGTCCCTGGAACTTGCTGGAGCTGCGTGCCACCCAGTGGCTGTGGCTGTGCGGGCCATGAACACCCCGAGGGCCTGTTATTTGCAGCTGCTGCCACCATTGACAGCAAGGGCTTCTGACACCATCAACAGCCATGGGGAGGTGTAGAGGGAGGTCCCCATACCCCGCCCTCCCTCACCCCACAAACCCCACACCCACACTCCCCCACAACCCTCTCACATATACACACACACACACCCTCCCAACATACCCTACACCCCCACACAGCCACACCCCCTCACAAACCCCCCACATACAAGCTCCACATCCCACCATACACACACACACTCCCCCAAACACACCCCGTACACAATATACAAGAGTAAGACTTTATTTTTGAGCTATTATGCAGTCACCTCTATATATACTATGCAAACACATACATCAGGACAAAAATATTTTTTGAAATAAAAATACTTTATGGCACCCCCCCCCCCCAATAAGTACTTCCAGGGGTAAGGGGAAAGACTTTGGGGGGGGAGGGAGGGGGAACGGGAGGGGGAAGAGGTCATTTTTCAGTCCTAAGATGTCAACCAGAGGATAGGCACCTGTCAAGAGGCGGGACTACCATTGCAGCTCTCTGCAGCTCACCAAAACTCATTAAGTGGCCTGCCCATCGAAATAACTGCCTGCCCCTGTTCTAAGGCCATTCTTCACCAAGTTACATTGTTCCATTGGGACTCCCCCACATGCATATTTTGCCTTGAGTAGATTAACTCTTTGCAGAACACTATGTGCTATTAATTGCATCATATAGAAGCAAAAGCCCTGATCAAACTATACCTGTACAATTTAAGTAATATTAGACCCTCAATTGAGACTTTTATGGTCACGTAAAACCAGAAGAATACAAAAACCACATTCCTCTTGTGAGAGCAGTTTCATTATAGTTCAATTTTATTCCTTACGTTATACTCTCCAGCAGTTAGCACAGCTTCGGCCCATATTGTATTTTTGTTTTTAATTGCTCTCTGCCTTTGGGTACAGTTATATTACTAATAGAAAAAAGTCCATACATTAATAACACCATAAAGCTTGTGCCCAGAATATCTGGGTTTCTCATAGGATTAAAGCTGCATCTTTTATTGCACTCTATATTTACTACTGATTTTTATAAAGCCTACTTTATTTTATTACACAAACTAAAAGCTCTAGCCACTGCCTGAGATCTTGGATATGCCGTTTGCGCAGCATCACTTTTGCCTCCGTGTCTAAGGCCAGAGACCACGTGAAGTGACAGATTTATAAAGGAACTTGTTTTTATTAAAAAAAATAATAATAATAATAAAGGCCTGAGATAGTACTACCTTATTGTGGAGACAAGGAACACTGAATGCCAAAAGGAGAAGCTGGCTTGCTTTTGCATTCTGCTGCCTTACGTTCTAGAGCGTTTTTGTTAGCATTTCTGAAAAGTTTTTTTTTTGGTTGAATTTTGCTCATGTCAATAGGTTTGCCACAAAAAAATGCTGCTGTTTTGTTTTGTTTTTTGGTGTGGGTGGGAAGAGAGAGAGACAACTTGGAAGCACAAAGCAAAATTGGAAATGAAGCCCAGAAGTACAATGGAGAATGAGAAGCAATTTGAATCATCTCAGTAAAGCACAGATGCAAGACACTTCTTTCCTCTCTTGCTTGGAGATTACCAGAGGGTTGACATAGCAAAACTCCCATGTTTCAAAACAAGGTAAGCATTTTTCTACTATGCATCTCAGTATATACCAGTAGTATGCTACTTGCAAAAATAATATTTTATTAGTCATCAAATGATTTTCTGCAGCTACATAGTACAACAGATGGAAGACATACTGCAGGTTTTGCCACCATTACCCTCTCTCATATCTGTGCATGGCACATGTTAGAGAAGACTTATTTTAAGTGCATTTTAGTTTTATACCCTTCCATATGCAAAGCCAAAGAACAAATTCCTGGTTTCACTGAAGTCCGTGGCAAAATGCCCACATTTCAGCAAGGCCAGAATTTTACCCAAACACTCTGGTAACACAGCACAAGAACCTCTCCTTTTCCAGCTGAGGAAGGTTCTGTTTTTACCTTTGTGACCCCAAAATAAACTTCAAAGTTGTGATGAAGTCTTAGAAACCTGTCACTGACCCAGAAGAGAAGGTATCCCAATCTTGGGCCTTTGAACAAGTCAATTTTGAGGGGAAAATTCCACTGTCAGACAGTGAGAAAACATTTTTGACAGGCTAACAAGGTAAAAACTTGTCAAACTGTGTTCAGGGGGGATGGGACAGCTGTCAAATGTGGTGGCCAATGGTGGACAGTAAATTTCATTTGTCACATGGTTCCCCAAAACAGCAGGTAGGTGCTGTCTCCCAGTAGAGTATACGCTGTATGCAACAAAAACTTGTTCAGACTGCAGGCTTGTCTTTGGGAGGACCTGCAACATGTTAGTGCCTCAGATGAAACGGCTGCAAGCAGGGGTGAAGATTTTCTTGGCTGATACCAAAAGCCAATTATTCACCAGGCATATTGCCCTATACTGATTCATTAACCGATTTGTAAGAATGCAGCCGGGCAGCGTGGAGAACATGACCCTGCAGGTAAGTCTGTGGAAGTAAAGGGACATGGGGGGAGCAGATCGAGGCCCCAACAGTGAAGGAGGGAGAGGGACAAGGGCAGAGGCAGGGGCTGTGACAGGGCACTGAATGGGGCCCTAGGGTCAGGGCGGGGAGTGAGATGGAGACGTGGGCGGCTTGAACATGGGATCAGCATCCTGGCACTTAAAAATGGTGGCAGGGGCACTTGAACTAAAGCTCATTGAATGAGTGGGGTGAGGGTGGAAGCGGGCTGCCTGCCACGGACTTGGGGCTCTTCGCTCCGGGAGCCATATGCCAGCTGCGCTGTGTCCCCTGCCCATCCAGCAGCTGGAGGAACAGCTCACCACTGCCACCAAATGGGTAGGGGTTGTGGCGCAGCCAGCGGGTGACTCCCGGGGCAAAAGCAGCAGAGTGAAGAGCCCTGAGCCTGCAGCAGACAGCACACCTCTGCCCTCACCTCGCTCAACTCCACTCTGGTTAAAGGCATCCCGGCAATTAAAAATGGGGATGGGTGGTGCTTGATTTAAAGCTCATTTGATGAGCTTTAGTTCAAGTGCCCTTGCTGCCATTTTTAAGCACTGGGATGCCAATCCCCTGGACGAGCCACACATGGCTTCATCCTGCTCCCTCAGGGTCCCATTCACCACCCTGCCCCAGCCCCCTGCTCCCTCCCTCACTGTGGGGGCCTCTATTTCCCCCCCCTCCCCCAATGCCCCTTCCTCTCCATGGGGAGGGGACTTACCTTTAGGGTGCTGCTCTCCATACTGCCTGGCTGCATTCCTGGCCGGTGCATGTGTGTGGTTGTGCACATCCACGCAACATCTGGGGGCCCTGGCCAGAAGGCATATTATATTTACCAGTGACATTATTGGCTACAGTGGACAAAAAAAGCCGATAGTCAATAATGTTAATTTTCCTTTTACTGGTGCTGATCTGATATGGCACCAATATAATTGGTGCACCTCTAGCTGCAAGCCCTCTACTTTGGAGGTGCTAACTGACCAGCAGCCCCACTGGCTCTATTGCTAGAGCATCCAAAAGCTTTTCTGTGCAAAACAAATCCAATTGCTGGCTTGTAGAAACAAGCAAATAAATAGAAGTGGCAGTAGAGCACTTGGGTAAGGGCCAGATTTTCAATGGTACAAATTTTGCAAGCATAGACCACTATGAAGATCAGAAACAGGAGAGAGAATGGCACAAATGCAAGGACAAATCCTGCCCTGTTACTCCTGTTACACCAGCAGCCTTACTAAAAGCTAGAGTGAGGACAGCAAGACTGCCTTTGGTTTGTCAACCCCCTCAGAGAGCATGAACTGGAGGATGCTGAACCCACAGAAGTTTCAGGACCATTTCATGCAAGATCATTTACGGGTCAAAGAGACTGCAAGAGAGGACAAGAGCAACTGTAAACAGAAAACTGCAAATAAGAACCCAGAAAGGACAATAAATTAGGTAGCAACCCTGGTTCTCTAAATAGGCAGCTGCATCTACTCAGGCTTGGAAGATTAAAACAGATGATATGAATAACAAATGAAACTATAAGCTGAGCTCTGACTGGTTTCAGTGGCAAGTGCTATTTAAACAGATGGCAATGGGTGGCAGCAGAAGAGCTGGGTGATTTTTCTGAGTGAAAAAAACAGGATCCCTGTTATGCAGGGAGAAAAGGAATAGCATGGACAGGTGTAGCAGAGGTAAGTACATTTAGGAAGCACATCTGCATCCCTTTCCTTGGGCAAAACACACTCCTTTCCCCAGTGCAGCCCCTACCATGTTGTCCCCTTTAAGTAGAAAAAATGTACATATGAAACTAAAGATGAAGAGGTAAACATACTAAGAAGTACTTTCATCTTCTTCTACCAGCCCCAACCCCATAAACAGGATTCTGTACTTTTAAAAAATGTCTCCTCTATTTTCAATTTTTTTGTCTGTTTATTTTCTCCATTACTCACTCTTTATCTCACAAGCACCTTCCCCCGGATTTCCCTCCTACCTTGCTCTTGCCTCTACACAACATTCAGTGTAGGCTTTTGCCCCCTCCAGCAAAACACAGGACTTGTCTATTCCAAGCCCGGGCACAATTAGGTATGGGCCTCTCATGAAAAGGCAATGAAGAGAAGGGCAAATGGCCCTCACAAACCAGGTGAATAGCCTCCGATTGACAGCTAGGTGCAGCTGAGCTGCCTGGAGTCAGAGAGCATACGAGTCCACATATGGAGGAGGTTGGGTTTGAGGCTATTCACAGACTATTTCACCCTGGGATTTTGTAGGCTTGCATACTGGGGAGAACACAGATGAGTCAGTGACACACTAAGTCTAGGGGCTCACACAAACTCAATTAGTCTGCTACCAATTTCAGCAGCTGGGTCTGCACCAATAGAAAACTTATAAGAGGAAAGTTTAAAGAACACAGGCCTGTGCTACTTTTTCTAAGAAGGGCCTGTAGAGCCCTGTTTAGCCCTAGCTTGCCAGTTTCCACAAACACAACCTATATCCTCGCATGCTACTTTCCTTTGGGTGTGCAGGTAATGGACATGCCGACATCACAGTGACAGAAATCCATGGTGGGATAAGTGAAATGGAGGTTCCCCTGAAAGTAATCTCAACTGTCATCAGCAATGCTAAATTTGAAAAATGGTATCGTGCAATCTATGTTTACTTCCAAGACCTAATTAAGGACCCCTAGTGGGGATCATACCATCGTTGTTTGTGTCCATCTGCCTGAAGATTTTGTCTGTTCGTTTTTCTGGAGTGGATTCGTCTTCTGGCATTTTCATTACCGATGACACCATTTTGTAGATTGCCTGAATATAAAAAAAAGTAATGAAATTTGAAAAGCTGTGAAGCACCAGGACTAAGAGAAGGAATTTAAGCTTGTAGCAATAAAAAGCCAGCTGACCTTGGCTGCAGAACCTTATAAATCAAAACAAGAAAGAAGAATTACAAACTCAATGCATTTTTCAGGAATCATTCCTGGTTTAGAAAGCCAATATAGTGGTTCTGTTGGGCAGTCCAGCAATGAGTCAGCAACTAATAAGTTACCACACTAGAGGATGCCAGGGAAAAGTTGCAAGTGCACTTTTCCTTTTTGCAAGTGAGTTTGGAAGTGGCCTCATTCCTTCAGAGTAGCCATTAAACACAGAGGTGCTTCCTACTATGCAGTAATTGTTCAGCTATGCTGGGCTGGGGGGGTTTGTGGGCAGGTGGGCTGGGTTTTCACACTTACATGGACCAACTAGAGCCTGAAGGCCTATTTTTACCCATGTTTACTATGTTTTACTCATGAGGTAAACCACAGGCAACATCCCCTTGACACCTGTTCCTCACCCTGCTCTGGAACTACCACTCCTACGAAGAGACGAGTTCACCCTCCACTCTCATGCCCCTCCTGACAACCCTTGCCAAACAGCTCACCAAGGCCAATGTAGCACCTGATTTTGTGGTCTGGAAAATTCTGCTAGAAACTGGATAGAAATGTCTGTGGTCAATAACAAGGTGTCACACATTGGCAGTCACCACCCACCATGGCTGGAGTCTGAATAGGTGACTGAATAGGTGACCTACAGGTGAAAAGGTCCAGTATGCCATTACCAACCCTCTGCAGCTTCTTCTACCACCTGGGACTCAAAGTTGCTACACAGCACCTTCCCTTGTACAGCTCCAAATTGTGAAATCTATATGGCCTTTTACTCTAAGGCCAGGTACAAACATGACACTTTTACTGGTGTAAGTGATTTGAAACCAGTTTATACCCAGAACAGAACAGAAGTTGGGACAAAAAACCCCACCGCCTCTATACCTGTAACAGAGCAGAAGTTCAGCACACAGACTGGTATAAAAATGGCAGAACTCAGTCTAAGATTTGCACCCTACCAAAGGGTGAATGTGTGTTCTGTTCACTACCAATTTAAACTATGCTGCTTACAGAAAACTGTGTAAGTTAGATCAATTCTGCCTCAGGCTTTTTGAATGCGTGTACCTAGCCTGAAAGTACACATGATCTCAAACCATACTTGGATTTTCACAGGCTCTGGGGTTATTGCCTTATGACTCAAACCACTGGAAATCCTGGGGATATTTCCAAAACTCTAATCTAGATTTTGATTCAAGTTTCATACATCTCAGAAATTTTGGGAGGGAGAGAGGGGGTAAGGGTGAGAAAAGAGGAAACTGGGTTTTCATTCAGGTCTTATTTCTACTCAGAATCTGTTCGGCTTTCAGAGCCATTATCCATTTGCAGTCTGTGGTCAGAATTATTTTGTGTGGCCATTCAGAATGACATTGGGGAAAACTACACTGCAAACACAGCCTGGGACCCTTCTACTGGCTGCTGTGGCAACTTTTAAGAAGTGCCAGGAGCTAACTGAATAGTTTTTAGGGTGCAAAAGCTACCTAGATCAAAAGCCTCTAGCTCCAGATGGTTCAGGGGTAAAGAGAAGTTACAGTAAGATAAATTCAAAGATAAAATTTACAAAAAAATAAGGATTTCTCACCTGCACTATTTCTAGCATTTCACCACGGCTGATGTATCCATTGCCATCAAGATCATACATACTAAATGCCCATTTCAGTTTCTGTTCCAGCTTTCCCCGAGAGGTGACACTCAGAGCAATGATAAATTCCCTAAAGTCAATCGTCCCATCACCATTGGTGTCGAATGTGCGGAAGACGTGTTCTGCAAACTTCGACGCGTCACCATAAGGGAAAAAATTTGCATATATTTTTTTGAATTCGTCAACAGTCAAATGGCCAGTTGGGCAATCTTTTAGAAAGCCTTTGTACCACTCTTGTAGCTCATGGTCTGTGAATTCAGTGTTCTCCCGGAGATCTTGGAGTACCTCAGGTCGCAGCTTACTGTTCTGCTTCCCCATTCTGTTCTTGATTAAAATCTAGCAGCTGTAAAACAAAAGAATAAGCATGTCAACATTAGTGCTATGATTGGACTCCAAGTGTGAGTCGAGCCCCTAGATTTTAAAAAGGTAACATAGTGGAAAGATGCTATCAGCTCACAGACACACAACGAGTAAAAACATTTCAACAGCTGAAACCAACCCCCCAGAGAGAACAGGTACACTTAAGGACTGGTTTGTGAAATAAGCATCTGGATACAATGTAAAGCTTAAAAACATTGATAAAACATTATCCTGTTTCCCCATATCCTTTCTCCCCTCATCCAAGATCTCCCAATAATTGAGTCTGCCATTTAGTGGGAGAGAGAAGAGGAAGACAATTTGGGACAACCTCTTTTGGTCTGTCCCAGTACCATTTAGCGCTCAGCTGTGTTCCTCCTCCCATATCTCCTCCTGTGCTCCATAGTGATTTCCAGTCCCTGCCCACACTAACCAGCATAGGCAGCATCAGGGGTGTTAAAAAATACCACAGCACATAAATAGTTCATATTTAAATAGCAAAAAGGCAGTCCAAGACTAAAGAAATGCAACAGTGGCTCTCTGAACACCCCCTGGTGCAGCAGCATTGTCCCACTTTCCTGACACCATCACATCAGTACCAAGGCCTCCTGCCTTGTTTCAGCAGCAGACATACTGAGAGGGCTGGAACCAGGTCAAGGACTTCGCAATGCTTTGAAAGTTGAGCTCCAGCAATTCACAGAGCATAAGCAGGATGAAATAACTGCATGGGGTGGGAAGGG